CTAGTTTCTTAGAACAACAGATAGCACTAAATAAGTTGCTTTGGCTTGGGCACGTACTACGTATGTCTGGTCACCGCTTACCGGGGAGGGCCATGTTTTGTCTGGCAGATATAGGGTGACGCAATGCTCGAGGTGGTTAGAAATTAACCAATCCGCAGCGGGAAATGAAGTTACTGACGACCAAACTGGGTGCCGTCGATCTGTCCCGTCTTCCGGGCTGGAGTCCACATGAACCGCCTTGTGCTTTGCTCGAGACTTTACAGGAGATGGCTCGCAGCCGACACCAGTGGCGCGTCTGCTGCCACATCGTAGTCGGACTGCTTGTTTAAAGTGTGTTTGGTGCTGAGTTATCTGCAGGATAATATCTGATTATTACGCGGGGCAGTGAAAGCTGCAAGGAGGATGTCTCGCTGATGCCGCTTTATCTTTGCACAATAGCTGTTTGTGACGGTATGTTGTTAACACAAGGTGTATGCGCCTGCACCCTGAATATGTGTTTAGGGCATTTAGGTTTTCAAGTAAGTCTCTCTACCCTCCTGTTATTCATTATTCCATTGGTCAACATGGGTGCATGACAGTGAAACGTCAGTTCAAATTGCTGAATTACTGCTGTTGATTTGATTGATTAATTTATGCTGGCTCCACCTTAGTTCGCGCCTAATAGTCCGTCTAGTCACATTGTACTCAGAGCTAGTCGGGAGTTTTCTCCTAGATCCCAACGGGTTCACCGAGCTCTCGGGACTGGTGCGGTGAGGATTTATAGTACCACAAGCAGATGCTCCTGCGTCGTGCATGGAGGCTAAGATGCTATTCCACTTATTCAAAAGTCATCGACAGTACGCTGCACACAGTACCGACGCTTCGCTGCCACACAACGACCACCGGTCGCGCATGGGCTGAGTATACTGCGAGGAAGCACACCCCTACGCGGATTCAAACCGGTGACCTAAGGAGTGTAGGTGGGGCGTGCAATCATTTCGGCCACCGGACGAATATTCCATTGATCCTAAGAGCGAAAGTTTGGTACACACAATGCATGCTAGTAGGCTTGTCTGATCAAAGACTGAGATAAGTTCTCGGTTGCCAAGCGGGGGGAAAGCTTGATGTGGCTCCCGAAAAAGCTCATGGAAAAACGATAGCATACCAAGGCAACATCAGACTCGACGCAAGTACTCCAGAAAGAGCAACAATCCAGGATGGAACCACGCCACCTGTAACTTATGGTAATGTGGTCTATTTGGGTCACTCGAGGACCAGCTACAGGACGCCAAGTGGCATTTCGGCGCCCAGCGTCTAAAAGCGGTACCACTGGAAATAGCTAGTGCTCCATATATAGTTGCAACAGATGCTCGCCGTTGTACGTACGGTCAGAGTTAAGCCCATAAATACCACCTAGCTGAGCTACTGAAGAGCACAGGCGGCTTACGTGTTCATTCACATCCCCTGCAAGTACTATTATACCAGAACTGGCAGCGCTGCGGAGTAGCGTGTTCATTACGTGGTAGAAAGCGTCCTTGGCAGCATCAGAACTGTATTCGGTGGAGAAATAAGCGGGAACCCTCCGTAAACAGCTTCTACGAGGGTACGACAATATATTTCTGGCTACGCAGTATACAGATTAAATGCAGATGACCTGGCAAGAAAAATGTGAACTGTAACCCCTTTTGAACATTTTTCAGTGATTTCAACTCACAAAACCATATTTCAGCAGTCCGGCACAACTCACAAGGGTCGATATGCTCTGACTGCAAGTATGGAACTCAATGTATGCCACTTGAGGGCGATGATTTTATATGACTACAAATGTGGTTTAAAGCAGCCCCAGAGTGTTGAGCTATTGCGCGATGCGCTTGATGATGATGCGTCTTCACGAACCACTGTATTTGAGTGGGTTGCGGAATTCAAGCGTGCCACGCGGTCCCTGGATGATGAGACAGTGTTGTAAACCTGTGGAGGCCACAACCGCGGATAATATTGCTGCTATACAAGCGATACTGGAGGATGATGCGCGGGTGACTGTGACACAGCTGAGGAAAACCATCGGGATCAATTCGCACCAACTTAAATGAGAACCTCGGCCTCAGAAAGATTTGCGCACGCTGGGTAACCCATCAGCTCAATGAAGACCAGAAAGCAGCTTGGGTTAACTGCTGCCGCATCATGCTTGCCAGATTTGATGTTAGACGTCACAATGCTGTTCAAGATATCCTCAGTAGTGATGAGACCAGGGTGCACAATTTCGACCCAGAGACCAAGAAACAATCGGGTCAGCGGACCGTTGTTGGTGGGGCGCCGCCTCAGAAATCCCTGCGTGAGCGCGGTGTGGCCAAGCAGATGGTGGCTTTGTTCGTAGCCAACACCGGTCATTTGACTACCGTACCAATCGTACGGCAACGCACAATCACCAGAGACTGTTTTGTCATCGGCTGCCTGCCACAAGTGCTTGAAGCTGTAACCAGGCGTCGTCCAGGTACTCGATCACGTGGGACCTTGCTGCATCATGACAGCGCACCTGCACACAGGTCCTATGTCGTCGTAGATTTTCTGGCTACAGAATGCACGCAGGAGGTTGACCACGCATCCTACAGTGCAGACCCGGCTTCGTGTGACCTTTGTGTTCCCAAATGTCAAACACACGACGTGTGGAAACCGCTACGAGTCTCCAGAAGCTGCAGAAAAGGCTTTGGTTGAGCTGCTTGAAGGGTTACCCACTTCGGGATGGTCTAGCTACTTGTTCAAATGGTTTGAGCGCATGAAACTGTGCATGAACGCTGGTAGAGATTACCTCGAGACAATGTAGTACATATTTTGTCGTAAAAAGTAAAATATTTTGTGCATCCAGAAACTTATTGCTATACCCTCGTACTTCGCGAAACAATGTTAGCTGATGCAATCAAAGGTGCCGCACACAAACGGCTGCTCGTGGAAATCCAAACTAACCAGCAGTAGCATGTTTTCGCTTAAATACCCTGCTGTATGCAGTAGATAAGGCGACCCTTGATAATCTGCGCGACAGCCGATGCAGGATGTAGCTGACGCTTAAAAAATTGCCATAGCTATGGGTGGGCTGAGATACTGCTAGGGTACTCAGGCCTAGACAGTAGGGCAATTTGGGCCGTCAACCAAAGCCTTCGGCTTAAAAGCCTGTCCGAAATGCAGCGGGGTGGCAATAAGTTAGTTTTACAGAAATGGACGCCATCCCATTACAAACCCCCAAATCTGGAGGATCAGGGGTTTGTCTGACCTCTAACTGTTGACGAAGCTGGTAGGAGTAGATCTCAAGTGGCCCGGGGCGCCACCAGTTAGCTCAATGGATCAAAGAAGTAGGCAAACTGTCGCCCCACGTCAAGGTCCAGTCTCGTTGCGACGGTAACTTACAAAGTGTGGTTTCTTCCAGGTGACCGACTTCTTGACTTGGAGTACGCCGACATTGCCCTGGTCTGTGACAGCCCACAAACGTGCCATGCAGCACTGAGCAAACTAGCATCGGCTGTCTATCGAGTCGGACTATACTTTGAACCTATGAAATGCCAATTCCGTCTCCAAGAATGGAAGAGACCAACCCCTGCGCTGACCCTTGGTGGTGATCAGACAGAAAACATCCGGAAATTTAAGTACCTAAGCACCTAGGTTAGCGCCAGCGGAATAGAAGATGAGATCACGAATGTATAGCAAAACTCTATGCGTTTCTGTTTCTATCAGCCACCTGTGGCGCCAGCGCGCAATTACTCTCACCCTGGAAGGCAGAATTTGTAATGAAGTCATGCGTTTAAGGCTCCTGTACAGTTGCTAAACCTGGCTCATCAGATCGACAGACATAAAGAAGTTTGTTACGTTCGACCACCGCAAGCTTCGTAGCTTAGCTGATGTCTGGTGGGAACATAACGTTAAAAATAAGCGTCTTCGGCGTCGTGTGTTTAGCGTAGGAAAAGCGAGTGAACCGCTCGGTACCGTTATTTCATGCACCAGGCTCCGACGGTTGGGTCACGCGTAGCGCATGCCAGTACACAGCCTCCCGCGACGTAGACTGTTTGCGCGACCAAGGTATGGATGGAAAAAGTGGGGGAGACAAAACGATGACCTGGTCAAGAGGAATAAAAACCCTCACTTTGAAGTTGACGTCGGTTCGTGTCTGTCGACTGCCAGGCTGGGGTCCCAAGGTAACGTGGTTGTCTTGTCATCTGACGGCGCGGGTTCGAGCCTGCATGGGGGCAGGGCGACCTTCGCAGTATCCTTTGCCCGCGTGCGACCGATAGTGGTTGTGTGCCAGCGAAGCGTCGGTACTGCGTACCGGCGTACTGCTGATGCCTTTTTTACTTCTGATTGCTTAGAAAGCAAATACTGCCAAATACTGCTCAATGAAGAAGTCAAGAAGGAACATGCACGGGAATCGCCGTTTGTCCCAGTTCCACTAGAGATTGCATTGAATTTTAGTTCGGTAGAAATTGTGAATACAAGTTTATAGCTACTATTACCCGAGTACGTAAAGCTTTGTTAACTCACTCGTTTACACCTATGTAGTACCTGATTTGTGCGCACATACTGGGTTCGTAGAATTGGTGTTCTCACTCTGCACATCATCCATACTGTGCCCGAATATGCTGCCTCCACTTGTATGTCTGCCCTAACTTCTCAGCGAATTGGATCAATTGCAAGTTCGACTCGGACCAATGCAGTGTAAATCAAATTACAAAGGTTGGTTTATTCAAAAATGTGGTAAACAATGGTCGTCCTAGGAAGAAACGTTATTCGAGGGAAATTTTGAACTGCTTGCTGCAGCTTTAGCATAGCTTATACCCTGAAGTCCAAAAATTTACTCAGACTTAATCATACATGGAATTTTATGTCCGTGGCTAGTGTGCCTCCGAACATCCGGAAATAAAATTTTTGTGTGGTTGGCAGTGCTTTACGAGGTGACGTGCTCAAGAAAGCCGTACAGTCTTTGTATTGCGGTCCGTTTCATGTAGACTGTACTGTTAACAAGAACATCACGAACTTACGAGATCCGTCTTGCTGCCAACGGCAATATACCGACCATCGGTGGACCAGGTAAGATTTATATTCTCGCCTTTCAGTTGGGCGGTAGTTGGATCGCGTTTGGAACGGCAGTCCCATAATCGAACAGCACCATCCGCACCAACAGATGAGAGCACATCAGCATCCGACGGATGCCAGCAAATTTGGTCAACACTTTCACTGTGTCCTCGAAAAGTGTGGACTTTAGTCTAATATGGTGAAATGTGAAGGCGAAGAACCCTACAAGTTTAGAGGAATCAAACGCATAAACGTTGATCAGTTTGTCGGCAGACCCGGATGCAAGCTTGGAACCATTAATATTCCAGGAGAGCGTGTGAATCTTTCCACTATAACCAGAGAACTCCTTAATCCGCGAATGGCGAAGAAAATGTCCACGGGTTCGGGCGAGACCATCTGCCGCCATCAAGACCGCAGGGACCGCACAATCGTATGGTGTAGTATGCGCCTGATCGAGAATTCTGAGGGCTTCCGTGCCCAGCGTGTAGGTAGGTCGTAATAGACCTGGGGAGCTGCAATAGGAAATAAATACTTCGTAAGTTGCGGGATACTCATATCACAACAACCTAGTAAGGGACCACATTAAACGAAAGGTGAATGTAAAAAGAAGAAGTATCAATGGCCGTCTAACTGAGATACAACGAGCTCCTTACCTAGGGATCACTACAAGGTCACGCTCGCACCCGTTACATGATTCCCCATCTGGTTGTTATCCGACGTTACTGACCGTGAAGTAGGCCTGTCAGGCTACGCATTACTGAGAGCTGAACTTGTATTTAACCATCGTGGTGGAGGCGTAGCTCAGTGTCTCAGATCTACCTTAATCACCTCCAAAATATGCACGTTTTATTCACCGGATAGGACTACAGAAGCCATTTCGCTCAAAGCGCGCAACTCTAAACAGCTAACCATTGTGTTAGTATATAGAGCATCGTATAGTATTTCTAGTGGGCTCATTGACTTCAGTCGCAGTAAATCGACTACCAGATGCTTAAGTATGGGAGATTTTAATCTGGTTATAGACTGGCAGACCCTTTCATGTCAATCATCAGCGGAGGGGGGGGGGGTTGACCACTGCTCTTCTTGACCTAAGGTTGCGGATACGCTTGCACCAGTTCGTGGATCAGCCCACTAGGTTCATGGTAGGTCAGATCCCGTCCATCCTCGATTTAAGCTTCTCTAGGTCTACAGATTTTATAAGTGCACATACTTATGAATCGTCTATGGGAGCTAACGAGCACGTCTGTTTGTCATTCAAGTGTGCCCTCTTTCGAGACCATACTGATGACAACATTCCGAGTCCGAATATATGGCGAGCAGATTTCCCTGCGATCAGAGCTATGGTCACAAATTCGAATTGTATCATTTCTGCCGACGATGGTTTGCAGAGCAAGTGGGGATATTTCAAGTCCTACCCGTCTCTCTCTCTCAGATCCCAATTTCTGTGAGGAAGGTTAGTAAGGCGAAGGCACTGCGGTTTGATTCAGCCGCACATCGAGTGATGAACAAGCGGACCAGGTGCTGGCGGATGTATCGGTCAGCATCTTCAGAGAGCGTTTTCCGGCGCCTTCAAGAAGCACGAAATGCCTACAAACAACATCCGTGCTACTCGACTAAGCTATGAAATGGAGTTGGTCGACTCAGTTACAGTAAATCCAAAGCGCTTCTTCGCCTATATCAAGAAGAAGGCTAATCTAAACTCACCCCTTCCAGTCTTGGTTGGCTCTGATGGCGCTTCTGCCGAGACGGATCACGATAAGACCAGTGCTTGCGAAATAGTAGGCGAGGGGATTTGTTACGGAATATGGCTTGCCGCCTGGTTATTTGGAGACGACAGTTCCGACGGACTCTACTTACGGATATTTCCGTCATAAAGACACAGGTGGTCTTGCTACTACGGGTAGTAAATCCAACCAAAGCGAGTGTACACGCTGTTCACCCCGGAAGTGAACTGATTACTGGTTGGTTCAGCGAAGCTGTATGCCACAGGGCGTGTCCCCAGGTTGCGGATCGGGGAACGCCTTCCTTGTGAAGGTAACTGTGAATAAGTCTCGGCTGTTCGCAGACGAGATAAATAAGCAGTCGCGGACAAGCAGCGGCAGCGTCCTAGAGCGTGGGAGGTTCTGGGCTAGTCACCTGGATTCCTATTAAATACCAGAAGAGTTCACAAGACGCTGTGTCAAAGCCAATGTGACCGGCTATAGGGTCACTGACCACTCACTTCTGGTCACAGAAGGGAGCACTTACCGGAGGGCGGATGAACCTTGCTGGCCACCGGCTTCTATGAAGGCGTATGAGCCACCCGGCTGTCAACAGCTTTCGTGCTTCGCCACGAGCTCGGTAGTCCTTGCTGCTTCACTGGGGCTCTTCGGGCGCCCTGAGTAGTTAGTTTCTACTCGAAAGCCGTTCACCTAGAGAGCCGGCTCCCAACGGTCGCGGTATCCGTCACACGTCCCGATGCCTTGCGGGATAGGTATTTACGACCCAAGGCTCCGGGTGAAATCCTCTAAGCCAACCCTCTTCCTCGGCCTGGGTAACCGAGAAGCAATATGCCCAAAAAACCTATGGATCCATGTCTCAACAATACTTCGCTCGCTCTCTCCGTTCTCGCTCTAACTGCTCTCATCGGCCGAGGTGCTAGCGGCTGAACCTGCCAAACCACCTTTTACCGCACCACCGTTTAGTCACTTTATTCCACGTTTGTTCAACCTTCCCATTCTTGGTCTTCCCCTCCGTTTTCGAGTTCACAACATCGTGCTGCCTTGGGCGAACGTTCTCGCCATACGGATCAGGAGCCTAGGTTCGAAGATGCGCCAAGTCGTGTTGACAAGCCATTTCTAGCGCCCCGTTCCCAATTCAAGCTGGCAACCTTCAATGTTCGGACGCTGATGCAGATTGGATTGCTGGCAGCACTTGCTCGCACTCTAGAAACTACGGCCATTGATGTCTGCTGTCTCAGCGAGACCCGTTTACAGGACTCTAGCACGACGCTGCGACTAGTTTCACCGTCTGCGAATTCCACTGGCATTTTCACTTTGCGCCTATCTGGAGACTCAACCGCCGAAGCCGCTGGTTATGCTGGCGTGGGGATTGCGTTGAGCACACGTGCTGAGGCCGCGCTACTAGTCTGGACCCCAGTTAACAGTCGACTATGCCCGATACGACTTGAAAAATCAATGCGACTGTCCAGGCGCGAAGCCAGCAGACGCTGTCTATTCATTATCGCAGTGTACGCTCCCACAAATTGCAGCTCGAAGTCAGTTAAAAATGAGTACTATGGTCACCTGGCCGACCTCCGTAAAAAGCGCTGTAGCGACATTGTGGTGCTCGCCGGGGACTTGAACGCGCAGGTCGATAGCCTTGAAGTTGAAGAACGTGAACTCGGTGGTCAACACGGCTATGGTACTCGCAGAACTGACAACGGTGATCGACTACTTCAGATTTGCGCCGATCACGGCCTCCTTCTGTCGAGCACTAGCTTTCAGGGATCCTGGCGACGACGCGCCACCTGGAGATCCCCATCACCTGGCCAGCCATGGGCACAAATTGACCACATCGCCATTAGCTATCGGTGGAGTGGTAGCATACAGGATTGCAAATCAATCTGGAGTACCTATCTCACTTCGGATCACCTGCTGGTGTGTGCCAATGTTGCATTACGTTTTGGTGGCTTTCAGCAGCGTTGTCGGAAACGGTTTGACGTAGCTAAGCTTTCTGCCCCAAACGTTCTCCACGCATTTCAAGATGCCTTGGCCTCACGGCTGAAGGCCGCCCCAAGCACGGACATTGAAACACATTGGACACATCCGCGGCGCTATGTACAACTCTGCAACCCTGGTCTGTGGCTTCACCAGTAGTCCTGTCAACCACTGGATCTCTGCACGATCATTCCAACTTCTCGAAGCCCGTCGAGCAATCCCTACCAGCGGTAAATATCACGCACTACGCAAGACTACCAACGCTGAGCTCAAACATCTCCGGAAAGATCGCGAGGTCTGGTGGACGCAGCGGGTCATTGAGATGGAGCAAGCGGCCACCTCGGGGAATTTCCGTAAGCTTTTCCTCCTGATCCGATCTACTGGTGGCAAAAGGCCGAATGTAAGCGAAGTTTTACGAGAAACCAATGGCGAGCCAATCCACTGTCAAAAACGCCGATTCGAGCATTGGACAAAGCACTCTGAGCAGCAGTTTAATTGGCCAGCAGCACCAATGAGTTCCCCTTCTGGAGCCCAGAGCGCTTCCGGTGTGTGGACGCTTCACTACCATCTGAGGCTGAGGTTGCCCACGAGCTTCGCCTCTTGAAGCGCTATAAAGCTCCTGGCCCAGATGAACTCCCTCCGGCTCTTTCCAAAAATGGCGGCCGATCATTTGTTCAGAAGTCAACTTCTCTCCACCAAGAGATCTGGGTCACTGAAGTTATCCCATCTGATTGGAGCCTAGCGGATATTGTGCCCATCTTCAAAAAGGGTACCCGAACTGACTGCGTCAACCACAAAAGGATTAGTCTCATCTGTGTTGCTTCTAAGGTGCTCGCAGCTCTGCTTCTAAGGAGACTCAGCTTAGTACGCGAACAGAGCATACGTGAAGAGCAAGCTGGGTTCCGCTCAGGTCGGAGTTGCATCGATCACATCTTTACACTCCACCAAATACTCGAGTGTCGTCAAACGTTTGGCCAGCCAACGATCACTGTCTTCTTAGACATACGAGCCGCGTTTGACTCAGTCGACAGAGCTGCTCCCTGGAGTTGTCTACTGAGAAAGGAAATACCCGAGAACTATGTCACCTTACTTCTAGCCATCTACTCTCAAACGTCGGGCTGAGTGCAGGTGTATGACGGATTTTTGCCCCCAGTGGTGTAAGACAGGGTTGCCCAGCATCTCTTTGTTCATTTTCACTATAGACGAAATCTTGGAGAGTGCTCTGGAGAACTGCGATCCCAGCGGCGTCGAACTGATTCTAGGGGACCGATTTCGGGAGTTGGAGTAGGCCGACGACATCGCCGTAATCTGCGCTTCCTCACATGCCACCCAAAATGTTCTGTGTAGGTTGGAGATGTCTGTCTCCCAGTTTTGAATGCCATTCGCACTATCAAAAATGCAAGGTTTTCCTGCAGGACTGGCTAGGCGCTGTTCCTGACCTTACCTTTCTAGGTCATTCATTGGAAGTGGTGGACAAGTCCGTTTACCTCGGAAGCTGCCTCAACGCTAATGGTTTAACGGATGTCTCTTTGCGTGTCTCCAAGGTTGCTTTTGCTAATCTCCGCCATCACTGGCGTCGAGGTGATCTGAGTCTAGGTCTGAAGGGCCGAGTTTACAAGGCCACCGTGAGAGCATTTCTTCTCTATGGTTGCGAGACGGCCTGTTTGCGCAAAGGAGGTTGAGGGGCTGTCTGTTTTTGATCACCGCTGCCTTCGGAGCATCGCCGGTGTACGATGGCAACATCACACTAGGAATGAAGATATTCGACGAAGGATTTTCAGATCAGACAGACTTTGCCGAAAACTGAGCAGTATAATTTCTCTGCGCAGACTTCAGTGGTTGGGGCACGTTCTCCGCATGCCTACTCATCGTTTACCTCGCCGTGCCCACTTCGCGCACGCAGAAATCGGCTGGAAGCGAAAACAAGGTGACTGACGAGACTTGGGCCAGGAACATGAAGGAGCTAAGGTCAAAGATAGCCGCGGTTTGGCGCTCTCGGCTCCCTGGCTGGAGTGTGAAAAATCCGGGACGCGCACGGCTAGAAAAACTCTCGGAAATGGCAAGAAATCGTGCACAAAGGCAGACTTGTTGTGACTCCCCATTCACATGAAAACCGGTTTTTTCCCTCTATCTTTGTAGGTTTATTGCATTTTACATACGTAGTGACACTATGCCAAGTGTACTATTGGCCGTGTTGAATATATATATATATATATATATATATATATATATATATATATATATCACAAGTTTTAGATGAACTTGCAGCTAAGGTTTGTGAGCCGAATACGCATTTGTTTGAGAAATTACTTCTCCACTGCTCCTTATCTTCCAACTGGAGAGAAGCGATAGTATGCCATGTTTTCAAGAAGAGACAAACGCCTTCCTGAGAACTACAGACCGGTCAAATTGCTGGAGAAGCTGGTAAGAGATGCCCTTGAAGCTCACTTGAAGAAGTTCGACCTGCTCAGTTCGTCACAGCACGGCTTTCGTAAAGGTCACTCCTGCCTTACCAATCTGTTACATGCTCGGGAATACTGGGCCGACATGTTGGATCGGGAGAGATGGTGGATGTACTTTTCATTGGCTTCGCCAAAGCCTTCGACACCGTCCCTCATTCCAGACTGCTGTGTAAGCTGCGATCATATGGCATCACCGAACAAGCACTAAAGTGGATGACAGCATTTCTAGAGGGTAGGGGAAGGTGCGTTCGGGTGGGCTTGACAGTTAGTTCTCAGTGGTATTCCGAAGGGCTTCGTCCTCGTCGTACTCTTAATCACAATGTATGTTAATGAATTGTCAGAAAAGCTGGGGGTGTCGCCTCGCATGTTTGTACACGACCGTATGTTCTGGGGCAGGGTCAATGACCTCAATGACTCTTGACTTCTGCAGTGTGCGCTTGATAAGCTCTGTGATTTATCCATCTTAAAACAACTAGCTTCCAAATTTTCCAAGTGCTCCGTTGTGCGACTTGGGAACAGTTGTCTATCAAAGACTTACCATTCACGGGTTTGCACAGAACGAGTAAGCGTAGCTTTTCGGTGGTTCTGCCTCGGGATCTTACGGCAAGGGCCTGATCTCGTCGGTAGGTACCAGATGTTGTTGGTCTCGACGCAGTAGTGGTGTTCAGCACAAGAATTCAGCGAGTTGACTGTGGGAACGTGGATACCTGGAACAAGAGAGTGGTGTAGGTAAATTCGGCAAAGTTGGATAGAAGCAAAATGATAGAAGCGCCGCGTGTTAGCTTGGCAAATGGCCAGATCTTAGCAACATGGTAGACCAGCGAGGTAAGAGCCAAGCGTCTAGGCGCTGTTTGAAGGCCTCCGTATTGGGCGCTGAGACAACAACTTCAGGGAGGGCGTTCCAAGCGAAGGCAATACGCACACTGAAACTGTTTCTTCGGCACAGAAGGCGACTGCTACGAGTCATCAGTTTGAGTGAGTGCCCTCGAAGGTGATCTGTACGGGCGCGGACCAGCAATCCTGCGTTTGGGTGCCTGTTATTAGTCAGGACGGAATAAGCTAAGGTCGCCACGAAGCCTGCGATATTTCAACGGGAACAGGTTAAGGGCCGCCAGACGCTCCTCATACGAGAAGTGGGATAGTCCGTCCACTCTCTTAGTGGCTCTGCGCTGTACAGTTTCCAGCATGGCCTCGTCCTTCTTCAGGTACGGCGGCTGGACAAGTATGTTGTACTCCAGCAGCGGACGCACTAAAGTGCTATAGAGACGGACAAATGTCTCTCTAGGGAAAGACCCTAGTGCACGTCCAAGGAGGGCCAGGCGAACGCTAGCCTTTCGCGCCAGTGTAGCTACATTGGCGCTCGAGCTCAGGTCGGCGGATATTATGGTCCCTAGGTCGCGTTCCTGGGATGTGGCTTTAAGATGCACACCGCCGATATTGTACGGATTAGCCACACCTTGCCCAATGTGCATGACTTTGCACTTGTCGATGTTAAACGGGAGCGAATTTTTCGAGGCCCAAGAATAAGCAGCATCGATATCTGTCTGGAGAAGTGCCTGATCACTTGGCCTGCGGATAGGTCGCCATATCTTAGCGTCGTCCGCATAAAGCAGTATGTGGCTGCCGATACAGGATGGGAGGTCGTTGATGAACAAATTGAACAGCAGGGGCCCGAGGATGGATCCCTGGGGCACCCCGGTCGTGGCAGCCAGAGCGCTGGAGAGTGTGCCGTTTACACGAACTCGGTAGGTGCGGCCAGACAGGTAGGTACTTAGCCAGCAGATTGTTTGCTGGTCGATCCCCAAACTCGGCAGTTTACTCAACAGCAGTGCGTGATTGACAAGGTCGAATGCTTTTGAGAAATCCACGTAAACCACGTCAGTTGGAGTATGATTGTCTGCCTCTGCAGTCTAGGAATCAAGGGCTGCGAGAAGATTCAGCTGTATGGCCTCAAAACCCCCAGGAACATTTACAATATTCCATAGCTTAAGGTCATCAGCAAACAATAGGCATGATACCACAAGCTCTCCAGGGAGATCGTTTACGTAGATGGAGAACAGAACTGTGCTCTAAACTGCGGATAGCGACCTCCTGCGCATTCTGTTCTCTTGAGACAGGTAGTCCACTACGTTTATTTGCAGATATTTGTGTCATCTCTACGTCATCTGTTTGACCATGCCGATCATTTCGGTCTCGCCCACTACGCCAATGCGGCCACTGAACACCTGCTCTATCTGCACTCAGCGTGTAGGACCTCGTTCCAAAGCCATCACCTGCTCGATCTGTCTTCACCGTGTTCACGCTCCTTGTGACAATTCGCTCCATGCAGCTGACATCGCCCCGGGACTGTGCGATTGGAAGTCGGAAAAGGGACCGACACATCCGCCACTTGGAAATAACGCTCCTTCGGCAGTGTTATCCCGGTACATAGGGTGGCAGGTCATGTGATGTCGATTTGCCTGACATTGAACTCATAGTGTTGTTTATTAATGATTGAGTACGCTTGCTAAAGTCCTACGACCTCAATTGGAAATCAATTTACTAAGTGGTTTAAATGCGTTACGATGGTTAATCATTTTCCCGCCTCAAGCGTAGCAGCCATGGTGGATGACTCGCTTGCATTCCGACGTTTGTTGAAGGGTCCCTATCTGGACTTCGCATCGGTGGAGAAGGATCTGAAAGAGTTTCAGATTAAAACGGCGACTTCCTTTGTTCGTCGTAACGTGCAATCTGCGAAGGCGTACGAAAGGGAGACTGGACAGGTGCTACCGGATGGATGCCCATACCGATATATTCTGTTTGTATGTGTGCATGGGAGGCGCAGTAATGTCACTGGAAAGCGGTAAGTGCATTGCAATTGCCTCATGATAAGATTACTATAGGTACCGATGTTACGATTGCCCTGCGCGTTTTTCTGTGACGTATAAGGGCGAATGTTACGAAATTGGGAATGCGTATCTGTGGCATTCGCACAGCTTCCAAGTTGGGAAGCCTTGGTTGTATGCGTGTAATCGGAGGCTATCGGAAGAGCAGGAGAGGCTTGTGCTTAACTTAATGAGAACCTTTCGTCGGACCCAGGAGATGCGGGCCTTTGTGCGGCAGCAGTATGACATTCGTTTAACAAGGAGGGATTTGTATGTTATGCGGCGGCGTCATCGTAAGGCCTGTGTCACAGAGGTGGAGGAGGTGACTCAAATGTTGCAAAGAAATGGTGAAGTGAAAGTTCTGCATGCGGGTAATCAAATTCGTTACCTATTTTTCGTACCCTCGCGCATGCTTGAATTGGTGGGCCAGTACGGGGAGGTAATTTTGGCGGACTCCACGTACCAGATCAATTACGGAGGCTACATACTGTGGCATTGCATGTTTGTGGATGTCAGCGGCCTCGGTATGAGCTTCTTTTATGCCCTGTTGCCTAATGAGACGGAGGTAGCTTACGAGGAGGCAGTGAGAGGTATGTTGGAATTGGCCCCCTCGGTTGCCGGTGCTCGGACGTTGGTGATGGACAAGTGCGCGGCGCAAGTGAACGCGTTCCGTAATGCGTACCCCAATGCGAACATTGTTTTCTGTCGGGTACACATTATGCGTGACATGCGGCGGCGTTGCTCACACCTTCCGCTGTGTAACCCTGAAGATAAGAGAGCTCTTTTCAGCATGCTGCGGTCATTGTTGTATACGTACGACTGCGCTCATTATCATCGGATTATGGAAGCGATATCTCTGCGGAGCGCAGAATGCTTCCAATACCTGCGTCGTACATGGATTCCATGGCGGCTTAGCTGGGCGGCTCATCTGATGGACCATGTAGTTTTATTTGGATGCGACAGTACCAATCGCATTGAAAATGAGAACAAGCATCTGAAAGAAACTTTGAGTGAACGGTCAACGCTACTTCACCTGTTTCAGGTGATAGTGCAGCGTGCAAGTAGCATGATTGAGGAGAGGGAAACACTGCTGGGCAGAGATCAACTTGGTGAATGCCACGTTCAGCACGGAGCCAGCGTTGGGGACGCTATATTGCGCAGGCTCTCGTCTTACGCCCGGCGGCAGTACGCGCGGCACAGTGTTCGTGTTCGTATTCGCAGCGTCAACGAAGGCGTTGGTTGTTGGCTGGTGGAGGACGAGCGCATTGGTATGCAACGTGTTGTCATCGGAAATGGCTGCGCTTGTGGATGCAGATTTAATCGGCAGTGGCGCATTCCATGTGCGCACATAATACACGTTGCGAGCCTGCACGCCTACCAGGAGGAGGATGTGCTTCGTGGTTGCCGTTGGGTATTGCCATCGATAAGCACATGTGCGCCGATGCTTTCGGAGGATACGGAAGGGACGTTGACGGTGGCTCCGGTGAGATGCCCCAGTGATGTAGTTCTTGATCGGGCGGCGAAAATTCGCATCACTCGGGATATGTTTGCGTCTCTGGAAACGCAGATTCTGAGCATGGGCACGGAGGAGTTCCAGCGCACCATGGGTGTGTTCGCATGCGTGCGGGAGCTGCTCACAAGCCACAATGATGTTCAGCTTTACGCGCGGTCATCGCAGTTGCAGCAGCTGCAACTGTTATCCTCGGAAAACCTACCTACTTTCCAGGGAATGGAGCCGTCATCCTCCGCTGCAGCTACCCACGTGACGGCGGGCAATGGTACGCGTGACGGCATGAATTCACCGGAGAGGGAAGTCAGCGAAGGGGTCACATTGGTGTCCCCGGTGGCTGGTGTTTCCCAGTCTCCTTGCGCCGAACGCAGGCGTCGCAGGCGGAAGTCGCCTTTGCTAACCCGTGCAGTTGAGGTGGTGGAAGGCAGCATGACTTCACGGGAGTTGACATTTATGACGCTTAAAAGAAGGACATCTGCCCGCCACCGCACATACACATGGGGTACAAAGAGAGGCACCGCTGAAAAGGAAGCGGACAGTGCGGTTTGCTATTTGTGTGGGGAGGAAGAGGACGCGTGCGGGAGCTCTGAGATCGTCGAGTGGATAAGTTGTGATGTTTGCTTGCGTTGGTTTCATCAAACCTGCGCTTCATACCATGGGGAAGCGGCATATACATGTGCGCGTTGTTGTGGGTAAGTTCCGTTTCACGTTGTTTACATTACTTTTCTTTAGAGATACACAGAAATAGTAATGGAATACCGCATGAATGAACTCTGCAAATAGAAACCGCTTGCAATCGGTAAGTTCCCACGGCAATGGCTTTCTTCCCCAACTGTATATGTCCTTCCTTATTTGGTTAGCTGTGCAACGTTTGGCCTGGGTGTCATTCATCGTGCCTTGTGTGTTCCAATTACAACGCCGCGCGCTGTGATTGTAAGACACGGATGGTTTGTTATGTAGCTGTTTTAAGTGGTGTATAAACGCACGTGCTTAAACTGCTGCAAGAAGTGCACTGGTCCGAAGCTGCTGCGGCTGATTCCATTCACCGGAAGCTGCTGCAAGAGCTGCCGGTGTAAGTGACGGGATCGCTGACCATGGTGCTTTTCATTTCACTTGACAACTGTACATTTACTTCCGAATGGAAGGCAGCGGACAATGGCCACCTGACGGTTGTGCTTTTGGTTTACCTCGAAATCATTTGATAAGGTACCCCGATTGAGGCTATCACAAACGCTGCGGTGCTACGCTCTGGGACTGGTCTACTTTGTGCCTACTGGCCATCAATCAGCGTACGTGTTCCGTCCTTCGTTTTGGAGCAAACTTCCCGCCTTCGAGCTACGTACTCCGTGAGGCGGAACTCCCACTTGTCCCCAACCAAGTGCACCTAGGTGTCCTTCATTCCTCCGCTTTGCATTCTGTTGACAACTGGAAAAATGTCGCTAGTAAGGGTTTCAGAATGTAGCGGTTGGAACGCCGTTCTTTCGGGGTCGTAACTGCTGACATGATTGCGAGGATGTTCTCGCATATCTTCCGTCCGCATCTTCAATACTGCGTGAAGGCTTCCTCGCCGCAAATTGCTCCAGGGTTCATGGCATTATTGGTCATTGCGGTAGAACGTTCCTCAAAGGAACACTGTAGCTGCCTTATAGGCAGACAGGGGCAGCCTTGTTTATGGTAAAGGAAAAGGAACTGAACCGCTCAGCACCGTTATTGCACGCATAACCCTCATTATTTAGCCTTCAGATTCAGATGGACTGGAACGATAGGAAAATCCTTTAAGTGTTCCTTCTTGAGCAAATCGTTGAGCCAGAAAATGATAAGGTGTTACTTCTTGATAGATCTAAACCGAAAACCGCCTAGTTCCCGAATACATAAGAAAGCTATAATTTGAATGTATTTTAGAATAGTTTACACAGTGATACGGGGTAATCTCCAGGTCGCTACACAGCCCGCCTCCTAGAAGGGAAACCGTGGGTGACCCTTCGATCTACGTGAAGACTGTCCGTGGCGGGCCAGCCTTCTGCGAGACCAGGTGGTGAAACCTGATGCAGCTGCTGGGGCAGAACCAGGCGATCGGACCCTAGCGGGCTCCCACCCGTGTCCTCCTTAACCGTGCCAATAACACAAAATGGGGGAAGTTGGTAAGCGTCATAGCATAGCGTCATAGCGGCAATAGCAGACAAATCGATTGCCTGCCCGGCAGGACCAATCGCAGATACTCTTGAAAGAGCATCAGCGACGACGTATCGTTGGCCAGAAATGTGTCGGATATCAGTCGAGAATGGAGCAATGAAATCCAGCTGACGAATCTCACGTGGTGAGTGTCCAGCTGATTGATTTCGGAATGCGTAGATAAGCGGCTTGTGATCGGTGAAGATAATGAAGGTGTTACCTTCGAGGACGTGTCGGAAATGTCGAACTGTAGAGTAAACGGCTAGCAGTTCGCGGCTGAACGTGCTGTACTTGACTTCGGCGGGTTGTAGGCGTCTAGAGTAGAATGCAAGAGGTTTCCTGCCTCTATTTGTATGTAGCTGTAGGACGGCGCCTGACTTTTAAAGCTGACTTTAAAAGCTTCAGCAGGAGCGGCAGTCAGTTCCAACTGACCGTTTTTACGTCCACGAAGTAGGTCAATTAGTGGACTTAGCAAATTGGCGCAGTGTGGAAGAAAACGTCCATAATAGTTGAGCATGCCTTTAAAACGGCGAATAGCGGCTTAATGTCCCTGGGTCTGACTATTACCTGACAGTATGCTCACTCATACGGACATCATCTTTTCTTTTATACCTTTCATCAAAACGAAATGTTTTAATATTACGCAGAAGCTATGCTTGTATGCATATTTGATCACGCCTTTACAGGTGTGTCTCGCTTTACCGAGAATATACTATTTATTTATTTATTTATTTAATGTCACCAAAAAAATCGAGTGACTTCATAAATACAAGGTCTAAGATAGACGGTACTTGGGCGTCCATGTACCTAGTGGGGAGCTCAATGAACTGGTGCAAAGATACTTGGAGCGTAAGCTCAAGCAGATCAGCGCCGAATGTGCCTGACGCTGAGTTGCAAGAAAGAACTGCCCAGCAAATCTCTGGAAGGTTGAAGTCGCCCATCACCAAACACTTGTTTGCGGACTGGGAGCGAATGAAATCAAGTACCTCTTTGGATACGCTCCCAGGGCTTCTATACACAATTACAATTGTAACCTGAGCCGAGAATGTGCTAATAACAGCCGACAGAGCTTCAACAGTTTTGTCTGCCGACTGAAATAAGCAAGTCTTCAAAACGTGAAGTTTACAGCTTACATAAAGAGCGACGCTCCCTCCCTGTCGGCCAGCAGAGCGATCGCATCTAAATAGTGCGTAGCCAGGTAGACGTACTTTACCATCCATGATGTCCTGAGAAAGCCACGTTTCAGTGAATGCGAGTATATCGGGATGAGACCCATCTACAAGCAAACCCAACTCGTACACCTTATTCCTTAGGCTGCGCACATTACTTAACACTATCTGAAAGTATTCGTTAGATCCAGACCTGGGTCGTGCGCTACCAGAATGGGCAGTGGTAGGGCAAGAAACGACCGCCGGCTGACCATCCGAAAACCCACTAACCGGAGACTCTGTTCACCGGCCGCTCGCCTACTTTTGAGGTCCTTGATGGCCTCCCTTAGCTTCAGCCTATCGGCCAGCGGAAAGTCCGGCTGAACGCTAATATTTGTACCTTTCAGCTTAAACGCAAACCGCATGAGAGCGCTGCGTTCCTCCGGGGTAGAGAGTACCACACGAAGTAGCCGCGGTCGAAGGTTTGGAACATTAACTGGGACGCTCCCCAAACTAATCAAGTCCAAGTGGGACTGGAACGATAGGATGAATCCCGTACGTGTTCCTTCTTGCGCGGGTCGTCGATCCTGGAGTTGATAGGGGTTCTCCGAGTTTTTGATGGGTCTAAAAGGAAATCACCCGATAAAACACCCTGGTCCACCAATTTAATGCCTACGTTCCTTACATTAGCTGTCTCCGTTATGTCAGTTACGTGAAGTAAGGAAGAGAGGAAGATAAAGCGAAGGTAAGAGAGTAGGGGAAATCAGTTAAAAGAAGAAGGTAATACCAATGGCGAGGAAAAGTAAAGAAACTAGAATCTAAGTATGAAGATAGGAATTAGTCAGGAAAAAGGGAAGGTTTCATGTTGCCACCCAAGGGCGTCTAGTTGACGCCCAAACCCCTTAACCGTAGATTCCTTGACAACATGTTCTGGAAGCAGGTTCCAGCGCTTGATGACTCGACGTGATAACCGTGTCTCCGCTCTAACTCGATCGGACCGCGGTTTGTCCAGCTTCATACAATGCCCGCGAAGACCAGATAATCTAGCAGGACTAAATAGCATGGACAAATCAGGGCCAACCTTCACAGTCAAAATACGGTAGGTTAGGATTAGGTCCCTTCTAATCCTTCGATAGTGCATTGACTGCATCCCCAAACTAAGTAGGCGTTCGGGGTACGTTTGCCTTCGTAATCCCTTGACCAACCTAGTACCGACACGCAACACCCTTTCTAGTGCCATTTTGTCCCGGACAAGGCATGGTTGACAGGCCTGGACGCAATATTCTAGGTGGGGTCGCACAAACGCTGAGAAAAGCTTCACAAACACATAAGCGGTTAGGGTCTCAAAAGAACGACGGATAAACCACAACATCCGGAACCCTTTACTAACCGCCTTCTTCCAGTTGTCGCCAGAGTGTAGAGTGGAACAGTGAACGACACCTAGATCAACCTGATGAGTCACGTGAGGAAGTTCACTCCCATCGAGCACATAACTTGTGGAGGAAGCAGACGCTCCGATACACAGCACTGAACACTTTGCCAGGTTTATGGGCAGCAACCACAAGACAGACCATTCCCAGAGTCTATCCAGAGCCCATTGAAGAGCCACAGGACCTCCAGGGATATCAACAATATTCCAGAGCTTTAGGTCATCAGCAAATAAGAGCGATGGTACCTCAAGCTCCTCCGGCAAGTCATTCACGTAGACAGAAAAAAAGCAGCGGACCTAGGACAGTGCCTTGCGGAACGCCGCTAAGTACAGCTTACCGAAACGAAAGACAGCTTCCCACACGAATACACTGTTCCCGTCCATCCAGAAAAGCTGACACCCACTGGAGAGCACGACCAGTTATTCCATACGACTTCAACTTCAGTGAGTCGCGAATGAGGGAGTGTCAAAGGCCTTGGCAAAGTCAATGAACACCAAATCCACTGCATGTCCACTGTCTACGGCTTCAATCCAGCTCTCACCAGCTACCAGCAAGTTTGTATGACACGAAAATCCTTTGCGAAAACCATGTTGCTCGACGCAAAACTGGTTAAACCTATTTATATGGTTCTCCACTTTATCCCGTACTAATTTTTCAAGTAACTTAACGACCACGCTAGTCAAACTGACAGGCCTGTAATTAGCCGGTTGGTCTTTGTCACCGCACTTGAAAATCGGGCAGCCAACAGCCTTCTTCCATTCGGTAGGCAAGACACAGCTGTTGAGTGACTTCTGAAACACAAGTCAGAGGTCCACTGAGTTCCACTGCCAATTCATTCAACGATTTTGGATGAACGGAATCTGGCCCGGAAGCCTTAGTTGGGTTTACCTCTCTTAGCAACCGGAGAACTTGGGACTCAGTCACAGGAATTTCATCCGGACAACAGTCCTCAAAGACTCTTGAAGCTAACGCGAGAAACGCCAAAAGTACGAACTGCCTTTAGCTGCACTTTCTGCTACAAACTCCAAGGCGCTCTTCTCATACATCAAACGAAGCACTAAAGCTGGAAGTGGTGTCCCTGCCTTGTCTCCCTGTGAGCATTTGGACCTAGTCTACGAAGACGCTGAGAAAGCTAGCCTTTTGGCCCAGCAATATTCCTCTGTCTACTCGACCGAAACGCCACTCCCAGATAGCGTTGCACCCACTCCTCCTTTCCTGCTGTAGCACGTGAATGTTACCACTGACGTTGTAAGGAAACTTCTACTTTACCGAGACCCGTATTCCTCGCCTGGTCCCGATGGTCTACACCCATTGTTCCTTAAGGCCGTGGCCGGGCACATTGCCGCTCCTGTATGTCAAATTTTTCGTCGTTCCCTTGAGCTCGGGCGGCTTCCAACTGCTTGGAAGGTGGGAACTGTTAAACCCATTTACAAAGGAGGGAACCGACAGAATCCAGCCAGCTATCGTCCCATCTGTTTGACTTCGATTTTGTGTAAAGTCAAGGAACGGATTCTGAAACGGGCCCTTCGCCTACATCTCGATGAGTTGGAGTTCCCACCTCATGCCCAACATGGTTTCCGAAGGGCGCGTTCATGTGCCACAAATTGGCTGGTAGCTAGGGAGAAATGGGTAAGATCCTAAATGCCGGTAAGCGGCTGGATGCTGTGTTTGTCGATTTCAGTAAGGCTGTCGACAAGGTCCCACATGAGCGGCTCCTCTTCAAACTACGGGGAATCGGCGTCACTGGCAATTTTTTTCATGGGTCTCCGATTTCCTGCAAGGTCGCTTCATGCAGATCAAAGTTAACGAAGCGCTTTCTGATCAAATTCTCATGACCAGTGGGGCCCCCAGGGTTCTGTACTCGGCCCCGAACTCTTCAGTATCCTCATCAACGACCTGCCATCCGAACTGCAGACCGACTGCTTAATCTACGCGGGTGATCTGGAGCTGTGGATTGAGGTATCCAGTCTGGAAGATGCAAACATACTTCAAGCGACACTCAATCAGCTCCACGATTGGTCACTAAAGTGGCAGTTGCCCATTAACCATGACAAATGCGCTATCCTTCCAATCAGTGCCCCTGAGCCTTTTGGGGTTTACCATAT